GTCCTCTTTTTTTTTTTATTATTCTCCTTTCCCTGTACAAACACATATGTAGGTCAAATAGTTTCAGCTACTACGGTGAAAGGCAGCAAGTGATTGTAGAGGCCTTTTGTTGATATTCTGTCTCTGCCTGTAATTTAAGTAGAGGATGTTACCCATTGGGCGTGAAGAATTCTCAATATAAAATCAAAAAAGCAGAGCTGGCATAGTGAAAAGAAGTTGGTGCAGATAGCCACTTGAGGGGACGAGACCAAAATAAGCAATGGTTTATTGTTAATTCATTAATTGTTTAATGAAGAGAAGGACGAGGCATGACATGAGAGCAGAGTTCTAATATCTCAGGGGCTGCTACAAAGAAGAGGGAGTCAAGCTATTCTCCAAAGCGCCTGAAGGCAGGACAAGAAGCAACAGAAGGAAACTAACCAAACAGAGAAGCAACCTAGAACTAAGAAGAAATTTTCTGACAGTGAGAACAATTAACCAGTGGAACGACTTGCCTCCAGAAGCAGTGAATGCTCCAACACTGGAAGTTTTTAAGAAGAGACTGGACAGCCATTTGTATGAAATGGTGTAGGGTTTCCTGCCTGAGCAGGGGGTTGGACTAGAAGACCTCAAAAGTCTCTTCCAACTCTATTATTGTTACTGTTACCAATTCCATTGCATTCGTAATATCCATTTTTGGTGTATTTACTCTGGAACACAGTAGATAACCCATCTGTAGCCAGGCTGGTATCACCCCTCTTATTGCTGATGTCTGCTCTACAAGTACATTGTCCTTCTATACCAGGGGTTCTCAACCTGTGGGTCGGGACCCCATTTGGGGTCGAACGACCATTTCACGGGGGTCGCCAAACCACGCTGTCCGCCATTTTGTTCCCTTTTCCCTAGCTGTCCTACTCCCTCTTATTGGTGGCCACACCCACTTGGGGGTCACCACAACATGGGGAACTGTATTATGGGGTCACGGCATTAGAAAGGTTGGGAACCACTGTTCTATATATAAGGAAAGGTTGAGGTCTTTAATGCCTGAGGCCGTTTTGAAATCTAACACCACATTAGGCAAATGCTGAAAGACAAAAAGTGAATCTCTGGTTTTGGCCTTGTGGAGATAATTAGAAAGCGAATCTCTGGTTTTGGCCTTGTGGAGATAATTAGAAAGCGAATCTCTGGTTTTGGCCTTGTGGAGATAATTAGAAAGCGAATCTCTGGTTTTGGCCTTGTGGAGATAATTAGAAAGCGAATCTCTGGTTTTGGCCTTGTGGAGATAATTAGAAAGCGAATCTCTGGTTTTGGCCTTGTGGAGATAATTAGAAAGCGAATCTCTGGTTTTGGCCTTGTGGAGATAATTAGAAAGCGAATCTCTGGTTTTGGCCTTGTGGAGATAATTAGAAAGCGAATCTCTGGTTTTGGCCTTGTGGAGATAATTAGCCAGGCCACTACCGGTTGTCCTCGACTTATGACCACAATTTTGCTAAGCAAGACAGTTGTTAAATGAGTTTTCTCCCCACTTTACCACCTTTCCTGCCACCGTCGTTAAGGGAATCACCGCAGCTTTAATAACGCAGTTGTTTCAGTGAATCGCTGGCCTCCCCGTTGTGTTTGTTTCTCAGAAGGTCGGCAATGGTGATCACATGACACACACACACACACCCCGACAGTGCAACTGTCCTAAAGACACGCCAGTTGCCAAGCATCTGAGTCTTGATCACATGACCATGGGGAAACTGCAACAGTCGTTAATGAGAAAACCAGGCCTAAGCTCTCTTTTTTTCAATGTCATTGTAACTTAGTTCACTAAACCAGTGGTTCTCAACCTTTTTAATGCCGCGACCCCCAACCGGTCATAAGTCGAGGTCTACTCAACCGGTCGTAAGTCGAGGACTACTCAACTGGTGCAGCACCGTTTGCAGAATGGGACTTTTGGCGGGCTCAGCAGGGCAGAGACAGCCTGGACAATTCCTATTGGCTTTTGAAAGCCAATAGAATTAGATGCTATTCAAGAGAGTCTATTCTATTGGCTTTCAAAAGCCAATAGAATAAAAGGGAGTAGCACAGCTAAGGAAAAGGGGAAAAAAATGGCGGACTGTGTTGTTTGGCGACCCCCATGAAATGGTCGTTCAACCCCAAATGGGGTCCCGACCCACAGGTTGAGAACCACTGCACTAAACGAATGTATTTATTTATTTATTTTTAAAATTTATGAGCCGCCCCACTCCCGGAGGACTCTGGGCGGCTAACAATAAAAACACATAAAACATAACAAAACAAACAGTACAAGAACAGTCATCCAGGGGTCAGATTTTATAAACCACAGGCCTGCCGGAAAAGCCAGGTCTTAAGCAGCTTATGGAAAACCAACAGAGTGGGAACGGTCCTAATCTCCGGGGGGAGCTGGTTCCAAGACATAGGCGCCATTACAGAGAAAGCCCTCCCCCGCAGCCCCGCCAAATGGCACTGCTTGGCCGACGGGACCTGAAGGAGGCCCAGCCTATGGGATCTAACCAGATGAAGGGAACTATGAGGTAGTAGGCGGTCTCGCAAATAGCCTGGCCCTGAGCCATATAGGGCTTTAAAGGTAATAACCAACACCTTGAATTGGACCCGGAGACCAATAGGCAACCAGTGCAGCTCGCGGAGGATAGGTGTAACGTGGGTGTACCGAGGAGCACCCACTATCACTCGCGCGACTGCATTCTGGACCAACTGTAGTCTCCAAATATTTTTCAAGGGTAGCCCCATGTAGAGCGTGTTGCAGTAGTCCAGTGTAGTCCAACGAATGGTTGTTAAGTTGAGGGCCACCTTTAACTGGTTGAGATGCCAACATTTTCTGCTAGCCACATCCAAATACTGCATTCCCTGTTTCTAGGGGAATCTTTATTTTTTTTTTAATTAAAGTTTTTATTAAGCACAGAGGGAAAAAAAGGATTAAAAACATTGAACATGGTAAATCGTCTTTGACATCTCAGTCCATATTGTACATTAATTACATATAATATATCTATAAACAACTATACATTTCTGGTCTCTGTCTCAACTTATCTCTTTACTGTGACCTCCATTTTTTCCCCCTCCATCTATAAAATTTATTCCATATTCGATAAAATTCTGTTTCTTCCTGATTTTTTTAATCTTTTAGTTATCTTACCTAGTTCTGCGCAATACATAATTTTCTTTATTGGTGCTTCCCCACTCGGTACTTCCACTTTTGAGCAAATAGTATCCTTGCTGCTGTAACCACATGGATAATTAAATATGTGTCCTCTTTATTTACATTTTTCTCTAGTATTCCTAATAGTAATGTCTCAGATTTGTATTGAATGGTTTGCCTAGTCATTTCTGTTGCCCATTCTAGGGGAATCTTTATTTTGATGTCCTCTACTACCCTACAATGGAAGCAGAAATGAACTTTTCACACCATGATTCTTTTTTTTTTCTTTCTAACCCAGGGGTTCTCAACCTTGGCAACTTTAAGACTTATGGACTTCAACTCCCAGAATTCCTCAGCCAGCTTTGCTTTCCACTTTTGAGCAAATAGTATCCTTGCTATCCAGAATTCTGGGAGTTGAAGTCCACAAGTCTTAAAGTTGCCAAGGTTGAGAACCCCTGTTCTAACCAGTTCACCTCTGCTGTAACTACCTTGTCTCCTAACTACCTCTTCCATCATTACATTTCCTGCCTTCCTGGTTCCGTCATTGAGGCCTTCTTTCTCTCTCTCCCTCCCTCCCTCTCTCTCCCTTTCCGCCATCTTCTCTCCCAGCTGTCTGCCGCCTCCAGTCCATCCACTCAGAGTCCACACAGACCTTCAGGAAAGGACCCCTTTGCAGAGGATTTCTTGTAGGACCATTTAGGTATCGCATGTTCCCTTTGGGGCGCCGGGGGGGGACATTGGCCACTTGGGTGCTGCGTCCTAGGAACAACCCCTTTGTCGTAACGGAGGGCCCCCTCCTTACCATGATCGCATCAAAATATTGTTCACCTTGGGGAGGTCTCCCCAAAATTGCATGTCTGGAGGGTTTGGTGTGATGCCGAGCAGGGGCTTCAGCAAAGGGTCCCAATGGTGTGATGAAAGGAAGCTTCCAGCATTTAGCGTTGCCTCTAAAACTCCGAAAACAATGTGATGTTGGTTGACAGTAATAAAATATACAGGTTTGTAGGTACTGTTGGCTGTGGAGGAACATCTTAATACGATCCCGCAGCTGGTATCTTGAGAGCTTTTTCTGCTGTGTTCCCAGGTGTAATAAGTGAGCCCCACGTCCCACAGACCCGAATCTCTCCAGTTGCGTGTCCTGAATACATATCGAATAGATCTACACAAAGATTGTAAATGGCTGGATTCAAGTATTAATGTCATTCTCCCAAGTATTAAATCTCTTTCTAGTCTTATTAGGTTCCCAGAAGAACATAGTTGTTGTTTCTTTGTTTGCCCTTCCAATCACGTTGTTGGATTAGTTCGTGCGAGGAGTCACCCCATTGTGCCTGTGATTCCATTTCTCTATCTTCTGCATCTGTCAGAGTTGCCACCTGTATTATAAATTCCTCATTGGGCTGAAGGGTGGCGTAAATAAAACAGCTGTCACGGCTATGCCACATCCTCCATCTCTGTTGAATGAAAACGAATTGTATCTTTGTGTAACATAAGGCAGGTTTTTTCCCCCCAATAATTTACCTTTCGTTGTAGACTGATGTTGACTGCATTAGAGATCCTTTGGAGGCTTCCTTTAGGTATTAAACATGTGGGGAGCAAAGGGATGAGATAAGAAATTAAGACAGAGTTGTGTGTTGACATTGATAGGGTGACCTGTGACTTCTTTGGTGCACTCCGACATTGCTTTCTTGCAGATGTTTCATCACGCAACTGGGTAACATCAGTGCGACACTTAACGATGTTACCTAGTTGGGTAATGAAATGTCTGCAACCGGAAAACAATCAACAAGAAGCCTATAGTTCAACCCCAAGCTACAGATATCAACAAGCTAATCCTGATTTCATTTTATTTTCTCAGATCCAGTTTATGTAGTCATGCCAGATGGATTGGAGTGAGAAAGTCCCAGAAAAGACACGTGCTCAGTGACCAACCCCCTTTTTCGCAGCTCAGTCAAAACGAAAGTCTTTCCAGCTCTCCAGTAGAACATGACTCAAATCATGCAAAGCCCACAACGGTTGTGGGTCTCTCGGCCAACCTCAGCACCTTGCAGCGTGGTATAAAGCCAAGAATTGCCACAAATTTGGTGTGGGATCTTTTTTCTACTTCCCCCCCCCCGCTCCCATGGTAAATTAACATGTTAGTAACTCCCACCCCCTATTTTATAACTTTGATGGGTAACCTATAAAAAAAGTTGCCTATCCTGCTAAATAGCGTTCTCGAAATTGCTCTTTGGAACGAAGAGCTGGACATATTTTATTTCCTTAACTTCAGCGACTTCTCTTTAGAGGATCGAATCCTAACTCTGTAATTCTGCAGCTTCCTCTCTCCATTCATCACAAATGTTAGGCTCCATGCCAAAAAGTTTAACTTAAAAAGGAGAAAAAAAAAACAACCCAACCCCACCGAATTATATATTCCGTTTGCATAGACATTCCTTTATGTATTATTGTTTGTATTTATTTATGATTATCCGTTTAAATAACAAATGTATCACAAAGCCTCCTCTGTGGAGAAATGAATGCCGATGTATACTGTGGGTCTCCCATTAGAGTTTGTTTCCTTTAATTTTTTTTTTATCCACCAGAACAATTTCCAGACAATTCTCAATCCACACTGCGCCATGCAGAATATTGGGCACGTTCCAAGGTCTGAAAAAAATGCCCCTTGTTGAATGCCCCCCAGCAATTAGAGTGATCGACAGACGGAGTTGCAAGTTCTGCTAAAGATTTGGGGAAGGGGGCGGAAACAGCTGACTGGTGGGAGCATGGTTGTTTTTCCGACCACTGTCCTCCTCGGTGCTTTGAGAAAGCTTTTCCTTGCTTTTTGCTTGGCATGCCATTTATCTTACACTTGACATAACAGCCTTTTCCAAATGAATGTGAGGAATTGCTTTCACTTTCAAAGACTTTCCTTCTCTGTATAAAAGAAAAAACAAAACAAGCAAGCAACTGCGGACAGTTCTGGTGTATTACGGGGGGGGGGAGAGACTTCTTTTCTGCGTTTGAATCATGTACCAAGAAATGAAATAAAACTCTCCGAAGGAAAGTCGTGTCATTGCTACGGACAACCCACCATGAAGTTCTCCAGGGGAAGCTCCACCACATCTCGTTCGGGATGACTTCCTGGCGCCCTGGATTCTCAGCACATAGGAATCCCTTTTTGTTCTTTGGTGAGTTTGAAAATGGCACTGTGGATCGGTGCTATATGTAAATACATCCTGTCAGTTTAGGTGGCATTTGGGGCCTTAAGGAGGATAGTCTGGGGCATGAAAGCAATTCTGTACATGAATTAAGCATATTTGCTGCATTGTCTCTGCAGATTCTATTTTTGTTTAAAACATTAAGATGTATGTTAGCAAAAAAAAGGTGGATTTTCAAATAAAATGCAGCTTCCACAAACCTCTTGAGTTGCGGTATGAATCTGTGAGGGGGTGAAATTTATTTTTGGAAGGGTTGCCGGGCAAAAATAGCAACTTTAGCTATTGTATAAATTCAATAATTGAGAAGAAAAATTGTCACAGCTGCTGCAGGTAATACTATGGTATTTGGACTGAGGAATTCATAAATAGTCCTGAGCTCTTGCAAAGCACGGAAGCACTTCTGTGGTGAAAGGGTCAGTAGCTGACATCATCCTTCCCCAGAGTTCACCCAGTTGGGGGCTTCTTTCATGTCCTCAAGTTGCTAACCAAACCCGCGATCGCCTGCTATTGAACGGCTGGGTTGAAGGAGCTGGAGCGAGTGACAGGAGCTCACCCTGCGGCATGGCAGCAACCAGGTCTTGAACGCAAAGCCTGCCAGTCGTCAACCCCCTAACCAACCGTATGAGCCACCACACTCCTACTTACAGACAGCTAATCTTTTACAACATCCCCAAGTCGTCATGTCTAAATAAAGAATGTAAATTTAAGAACTGGTTTGAGTTGTACTAAGTTTGGAATTCTTGGGGTTTTGCTATCTATTTTTTTTTTTTTTTTTTTTTAGAAACGGAATCTGGAACCGCTCCAGGTATAGATGAGCTAAAGTTCAGTGTTTCTCAACCTTGACAATTTTAAGGCATGTGGACTTCAACTCTCAGAATTCCACAGCCAGCATTGCTGGCTGTGGAATTCTGGGAGTTGAAGTCCACATGCCTTAAAATTGTCAAGGTTGAGAAACACTGAGCTAAACAATCAGTGTGGCAGTGAGGAATGCTGGAAACTCTGGTTCAGAAAGTATGGGTGCCCATAGGGTTTTTTTTGCCCCCTCCACTCTCTCCCTGTTGAATTTTCACGGACGTAGGAACTGAACGTAGCATGTTCTGCTTCAGAATGCATCTCTAGGAGAATTCTAGGCTTGGTCCTGTTTGTGGAACATTAATCTTCATAAAACAGGGCATCTTTTATCTAGGAGAAACATTCAGTTAGATATCCTATTCCTCCCTTCCACAAATTGCATTCCCTATGTTCTTTTTCATAGGTATCAACAGAAAGTGCAATTTTCTTTATGGATTAAGCCTGTTGGTACAGTTACTTTACATCCTCAGGGTCTAGCAAGGATGATCTTCCTGTACCAGGAGGCAGATGGTTTTTAGTAGCAGAAAAGAAAAGCACTCAAAATATAGAAATTTAAGTAACTTAGCCAAAACAGCAGAATGTAGTCCCTAGACCAGGGGTGTCAAACTCAATTTCATTGAGGGCCACATCAGCATTGCGGTTACCCTGGGGGGGGGCTGGCTGGGTGTGGCCAGGGGGGGGCAGCCTACTGAGTGGGCATGGATGGAGTGTGATCATCAAACAACATAAAACTGAAGCAAATGTTTTGCCCTGTCCTTCTAGTTAAGTCTATTCTGATAAAATTAATGGATGTGAATTTTTGAACTAGAGAAATACCAGTAGTCCTCAGCTTATGACCACAATTGAGTCCAACATTTCCGTTGCTAAGTGAGACAGTTAAGTGAGTCTTCCCCCATTTTACGACCTTTCTTGCCACAGCTCTTAAGTGAATCACTGCAGTTGTTAAGTTACTAACATGGTTGTGACGTGAATCTGACTCGCCCACCCTTGACTTTGTCAGAAGGTTGCAAAAGGTGATCACATGACAACAGGGACCGTCATAAATATGAGTCAGTTGCCAAGCATCTGAGTTTTGATCACGGGGATGGCTACAGTGGTTGTAAGTGTGAAAACAGTCACTTTTTTCAGTGCTGTTATCCCTTCAAACGGTCACTAAACGAATGGTTGAAAGTTGAAGATTATCTGTACTTGGGAGTTGCAAATTCTGAGTTGAGTTCATTTAATGGGAAACTTTAAAATGTCGTTTTAGTACTTCGTACTTCTAGTGGTTCTGTTGAGCATTGTGACTATCAAATCAGGTTTGGTCTCTCCCTGTTTTTCTGATGGAAATCATTTTCCATGAGAAAAAAATTTAAACGTATACCACTTGCCTTTTCCAGAGAATATTTATTTATGCAAATAGGTATACCAAGCATAGCTAGGACTGGTTATTCACTCATCAAAAGCTACCAAAAAGTAGGAACACATCTTCCTTACAAAGTGGGACACAACTTTTATTTCAACTTCTAGAAAATGACAGGCTTTTCTTAACGTTTGAAAGCTGGGAACTATAACTTTGGGGGGGGGGGAAGAAGGATGGAAAAAAGTGCCCCTCGTGCAGACCCCCCCTCCAAGATAAAGCTTCATTGGAAGTTTTCATCTACCAGACATAAAGAATTCATACACTTCATTTCCGTAACAAGCAAGTTTTTATGTATTTCCGTAATAAGCAACATGCGTTCTTTCCCGGTGCATCCAAAGCAAATCTGTTTAATTTGTAGATCGGTTGCAAAAATACTGGCGATTGACAGCCAGTATTTTTAACGGTCCTTAGCACCAAAAGAGAATCTTAGACCGAATCTCTGGAAGGACCTTCCTGTTTGTCTTCCTCTCTTTTATGGAAATACAGATTTGATCATACGGTAGGTGATGTGCTGCGCAGCTTTGTTTGGGTCGTACCTCTCTTCCAACTGAGCTTTGCTGGGCATTTCTTTGATGTCTTCATGAATTGGCATTTTCTGCCCCACAGCGCACATTAATTTCACATCCAAAGGACCCAGCTCCTTATATTCCTTGATTCAGAGCAAAAGAGGATGGTATTATTTGGTGGTAAATACGTTTAATAACTCCCATTTACCCCGGAACCCTCCTGTATATTTACAGTAGTGGCCAAAATTGTGGAAACTTTTGGGAAAAGTGTATTTTTGAGGTTTGATGGCTAATAACACCACTTTTTTTTTTGGAGCAGTACCATAAAATTATATATCAATGGAAAGATAATTTAATCAAGAATGTAATGCAACACAGTTTGTTCAATTATCTGTACTGTATTCTATGAAAAGTTATAGCCAAATAACCAGAAAAAGGAAGCACAACTTGCTTAGGTTGATATCAGGTAGCTTTCCTTCATCTGATTGTAGCCCATGAGTATGAGTGTTTAGAGAGCCAATCAGGTGTCATCTTGTTTTGGCAATGAGCCAATCAGATCACAGTAGGATTCAGTTATTGATGTCATGTATTGAAGCTGAGAGGAGGACATTTGTCAGTGTGTTATGTGATGGCTATCAAGTTGGTTGGGGTTTTTTTTGTGTTCTTTCATTTAGTGAGCTTGTAAAACGTAATAAAATTAAAATAATGGTGCAAAGAGTTGACTGGTCACCCAGAAAGCGATGTAAAATAGTATTATTAAGTGAACAAGGCTACAGTTATAAAGAAATTAGAAGAAAAATTAGAAACTTAACCAAAGGTGGCATTTCTACTGTACACTTTTCCCAAAGGGTTTCCACAATTTTGGCCACTACTGTACATGTATATGCCACATGCATGTAGATAATATGGATAATAAAGTATTCTATAAAAAGACAATAGCTGTCATTAGTAACTTACACACAGGTTAGAAAGCTGAATAAGAATTGGGGAAATACAGGTCATTCTTGACTTACAACCGTTCATTTAGTCACCCAAGTTACAACAGCACTGAAAAATGTGACTTATGATCATTTTTCACACTTAGGACCGTTACAGCATCCTCACGACCACGTGATCAAAATTCAGACGCTTGGCAGCTGGTTCATATTTATGACGGTTGCAGCGTCCTGGGGTCATGTGATCCCCTTTTGCGACTGCCTGACGAGCAAAGTCCATGGGGAAGCCAGATTCGCTTGACCACTGGGTTACTCACTTAATCAACTACAGTGATTCAGTTAACAACTGTGGCAGGAAAGGTCGTAAAACGGGGCAAAACTCACTTCACAAATGTTTCACTTGACGACAGACATTTTGGGCTCAGTTGTGGTCATAAGTCGAGGACTACCTGCATATGGCAAGTCATCAGACACTCCAGGAAGGATGCAGGATGAAGCTGAGTCAGCCCTGATTAAGCTAAGTTGCCTTAAAGCAGGGCTGTTCAAACATGGCCACTTTAAGACTTGTGGACTTCAACGCCCAGAATTCCTCAGCCAGCTGAGGAATTCTGGGAGTTGAAGTCTACAAGTCTTAAAGTGGCCACATTTGAAGAGCCCTGCCTCAAAAGCATTCTTGGAAAAATAAAAGAGGAGATAAGAGACAGGTGTTCCTGATGGGTAATTTCTTTTGCTGTTTGTTTTAAACTCTACAGCAGTGGTGGCGAACCTATGGCACGCATGCCAGAAGTGGCACTCAGAGCCCTCTCTGTGGGCACAAGCTCCATGCCCCTGAGATGGCAACCGTCCCTCTTCAACCAGCTAACTCACTGAGGTCCCACATGGCCGGATGCATCCCAGCACCCACGCGCTCCCTAGTCTCTGTGTGCAGGGGCTGATGGTGTCAGGCAGCAGTCACCCCGGCCTCACCTTGCCCTGTGACAATGGCACCCCTGCCCTGCCTCGCCTTGCCTCACCCAGCAGGACGAGCCTCCTGCCCACCGCCCCACCTGCCAGAGACCCTCTGGATCTCCCCCAACCCTGCCCGGCCCCCATAGGCATCCCTCCCCATGAGCAACATCGAGGTGATCATGCCCACCTTGGCCACACCCACCCAGTCTGCCATGACCACCACAGCCACACCCACCCAGTGGGCCATGCCCACCTGGCACCCGGTGATAAATAAGTGGGTTTTGGGTTGCAGTTTGGGCACTTGGTCTCTAAAAGCTTCGCCATCACTGCTCTACAGTATGTAAGAAAATTAAGTTGTAGGCTTTTTATGGGAACAGAAGACCATCTACCCTGGCCTGGAGGGCAGTTGCCCCTTGCCAACATCCTAGGCATGGATCTAATGCAATGTTTTTCAAAGTTGGCCACTTTAAGATGAGTGGACCTCAACTCCCAGAATTCCCCCAGTCATCCTTCATGCTGGGAGTTGAAGTCCACCCATCTTAAAGTGGCCAATGTTGAAAAACACTGTTCCTCAGGCCTTGGGATGAAGAGTCAATGTCACTAGACTTGCATCTCCAACAACATACAGGCTGAAGTTCTTATTAATCCTAATCCAATGTCATCCAGAATAACAGGATGAAAGAATGCTAGAAGGGACCTTGGAGGTCTTCTAGTCCAACCCTCTGCTCAGGCAAGAAACCCTATGCCAGTGGTGGCGAACCTATGGCACGCGTGCCAGAGGCGGCACTCAGAGCCCTCTCTGTGGGCACACATGCTGTTGCTCCAGTCTCGCCTCCCCCCACAACCTCCTCACCAGCAGCCCCTCTGGAGGAGAATCGCCCCCTGACTGTGGCCCACGTGGAGCAGAGCAGCCAAGGACATGGCAGCCAGGCAGCGTGGACAAGACCGCCTCACACCCCATCACGCACAATTGATGCTGTGGGGCACAGGCAGAGGGCATGGCTGCCATTGGCGCTGCTGGGTTGCCTGGGCGATCTGCGGCGGGCCCTGGAGGGGGTGAGTGGCCCTGCGGGCAGGTAGGGCAAGGGACGGGGTGGGGGTGGAGCAGGGGCGGGGCAGGGGATGGAGCAGGAGCGGGGCCAGTTTGTGGGTACTCGGTCTCTAAAAGGTTCACCATCACTGCCCTATGCCATTTCAGACAAATGGTTGTCCAATCTTTTCTTTAAAAACTTCCAGTGTTGGAGCTTTCACAACTTCTGGAGGCAAGTCTATTCAACAGGGATAGACAACTGACATAATTCTCAACCCATCTACTTCTCCCGTTCCACCACCGCTGAATCTTAGAGGAGGAAGATAAATCTTTACCTTGAAATCATTTCGATCTTCATACAGCAGAGGAGGTAGAAACTGACTCGCTGACATTCCCTGCAAATAAACCACCTCAAAGTCATCCATCGACTCCTTCTCCTTCTCCAATTCCCTCCTGTCCTCGCTTGACTGTGGATCCACAGAAATAACTAGCTCCGTTGCCGACGTCCCATCTTCCTCTGCTATAAAATAAATGATAAATTATTTTTGTTTTTATTCTTCATGCTCAACTTTCCATTTCATCACAGAAGACATAGAACATGGAACAACAGAGCTGGAAGGGATCTTGGAGGTCTTCTAGTCCAACCTGTGCAGGTTGTGCAGGAGAACCTATGTCATTTCAGACAAGTGACTGTCTAATATCTTCTTAAAAGTTTCCAGTGAAGTTCCACAACTTCTGAAGGCAAACTGTCCCAATCAATAATTGTTCTGTCAGGAAATTTCTCCTTAGTTCTAGTTGCTTCTCTCCTTGATTAGTTTCCATCCATTTTTTCCTGTTTTGCCTTCTGGTGCTTTGGAGAATAAGTTAACCATCATTTCTTTGTGGCAGCCCTTAGACAGCTATCATGTCACCCTTTGTCCTTCTCTTCATTAAATTAGACATACCCAATTCCAGCAATATGTTTTATTCTCCAGTCCCCTGATCATCTTTGTTGCTCTTCTCTGTGCTTTCTAGAGTCTCAACATCTTTTTTACATCATGTTGACCAAAACTGGATGCAGTATTCCAAGTGTGGCCTTACCAAGGCATTGTAAATAGTATTAACACTTCACGTGATCTTGATTCTATCCCTCTGTTAATGCAGCCTAGCACTGTGTTGGCTTTTTTGGCAGCTGCAGCATACTGTTGGCTCATATTTAAGTGACTGTCCACCAAGATCTTTATGGCTGGGTGGCCTGGTTGGGTGGGTGGGGGAAGAGGGGAACTGGGTCGCGTGGTATACCGGCGCGCACACATGCACGTGCAGCTCCACTCATGCAAGACAGAAGAGAAAGCTTTGGGTGCTGCTTGAGCAAGTGGAGTTGTGTGCCCATGCACACGCACACGCACACCGGCCCACCTCTTGCACGGCCCTGTCCAAGTAGGCCATGGCCCAGTAGTGGCCTGGGATTTGGGGACGCCTGCACTAGGACGTCAAGGTCCTTCTCACAGTTACTACTATTGAGCCAAGTTCTTTGCATATGTCCCAATACCCCTTCAATTCTGAAGCTGGGAGCAAGAGGTATGTTTGCAAGTTTAGTAATCAGGACAGGCCTTTAGATATTGCAAACATTTCTTATCCTCCCCATGGTGAGCAGGAAAAGAAGGAACAGTATTCAGTCTTGTGCATAAGTTGCCAAAAGTGAGAGTGCATGTAAAAAAATGCATCTCGGTCCATAAATCTTTTATTGTAGTTAAAAATTAAAACGTTAAAATAAAGCAACCCAAAACATAATAGCATACTCTATTACAGTTAACAATGAGATAACTGAGGAGCAGCCAAAGACTGCCTCATTTTTACAGACAATATAGATATGTTCAAAGAAACAGTATTATACTGAGCCAATAGTAACAGCTGTACGTTAAAAGAGATCAGAATTTGCTGGCTATTTTGTCAGCTAAGGAATTACAAAATGAGTTTGTGAATCCTTACGGAGGGTACAATATAATAGGACATGAGATGTGGTTTGAATGGCCCTCTGCCCACATCTCCCTAACTCAGGGGTCCCAAACGCTAGACCAGGGGTAGGCAACCTTGGCTCTTTTATGACTCGTGGACTTCAACTCCCAGAATTCCTGAGCCAGCATGGGGGAACTATGGCCCCTTTATGACTTGGGGACTTCAACTCCCAGAATTCCTGAGCCAGTATGGCTCAGCTTGGAAACCTCTCCCTTTCCCCTCAGTATGGCTGGCTCAGGAATTCTGGGAGTTGAAGTCCACGAGTCATAAAAGAGCCAAGGTTGCCTACCCCTGCTCTAGCTCATAGGTTCATGAAGTTTCAGATTGTTCGGCAAACATTTATTACATGAAAATAATTTAATAAATACTACTTTAACTAATAATACTACGAATGATATTAATAAAAAACACAACAGGTTGATGTTGACCACGCTGGGAAACCCCACCCTAATTGCAAGCCAAGAATGGGAATTCTGTAATTGTCTGGAAGCTGCCGCTCTAGTGGTTAAGGCACCTGGCTAGAAATCAGGAGATCGTGAATTCTAGTCCTGCCTTATGCATGAAAACCAGCTGGATGACTTTGGGCCAATCTCCCAGAGACGGTGAGTTCTAGTCCCTCCTCAGGCATGAAATTCTGCTGGGTGGATTTGGATCCATCCCCAGGAGGTGGTGAGTTCTAGTCTCGTCTTAGGCATGAATGCCAGCTGGGTGACGTTGAGCCCGTCCCTCTCTCTCAGCCCAACCCACCTCACAAGGTTGTTATTGTGGGGAAAATAGGAGAAGAAAGGAGGATTTGCTGTCTTGAGTTACTTATAAAAAATAATACGGGCAGGATATCAATAAAAAATATAGTGTATAAATAAATAAAACACGGTTTAGGAGACGATGGCAGCTTTGTTCCCCAAATTCACCATTACTACTTCAAGTGCCTTTCTTTAATAATTCATAGCTACAAGACATAGGCAGGTCAATTTGATGCCAATAACAACAACATAAAGAGGTAACTACCTTCTTGATCCATGCTTTCTCCAGGAAACTGCAAGCCAGCTCCTTGGGTAAGAAACAGCTTCCTGGAAAATGCAAAACACAGCAAAAAAATAGCACCAAAACACATAATGGTAACCCACTGGAAAAAAATGGTGAGAGCGTTTGTGATGAAGGCACCTGGCTAGAAACTCAGAGAGTGAGTTCTAGTTCCACTTTAGGATATGAAACCAGCTAGATGACCTTGGGCCAGTCCCTCTCTTTCAGCCCTAAGATGCAGGCAATGGCAAACCACTTTCAAAAAAAACCTTGCCAAGGAAACTGCAGGAACTACTTCCAGAAGTCACAAGATCAAAAAAAAAACAACAACCCCAAACACCTGACTCTAAAGTGCCAAAATAATAATAATAACAACCCTAGATTGAATGTATTCATTTGCTTCCCTTCTTTGCAAATTGCCTGATTGGTGATAAAAAGGAATCTACTCCCCAAAGCACAGATTAGAGTGGGAAATAAGGCATGGTAAGTTTATTACACAGGTATCAGAGCTGTGATGGCTCAGAATGGAGTATTGCAGGCTAATTCTGCCGACTGCCAGCAGCTCGATTCTCAGGTTGACTCAGCCTTTCATCCTTTTGAGGTTGGTAAAACGAGGGCCCTGGTTGTTGGGGGCAATAATCTGACTCTGTAAACCGCTTAGGGCAGTGGTTCTCAACCTTTTTAATGCCGCGACCCCCAACTGGTCGTAAGTTGAGGACTACTCAACCGGTCGTAAGTCGAGGACTACTCAACTGGTGCAGCACCGTTTGCAGAATGGGACTTTTGGCGGGCTCAGCAGGGCAGAGACAGCCTGGACAATTCCTATTGGCTTTTGAAAGCCAATAGAATTAGGCTCTATTTAAGAGAGTCTGTACTATTGGCTTTCAAAAGCCAATAGAATAAAAGGGAGTAGCACAGCTAAGGAAAAGGGGGGGGGGAAATGGTGGACTGCGTTGTTTGGCGACCCCCGTGAAATAGTCGTTCGACCCCAAATGGGGTCCCGACCCACAGGTTGAGAACCACTGGCTTAGAGAGAGCTGCAAAGCACTATGAAGCGGTATCTAAATCTAAGGGTTATTGTTATTGCTATCAAGAATTCAAAAGAGTTGTGGTCTGGGTCTCTGTGTAAGGAAGCTGTAGCTTTGCACAAGGGAGACTGCATTCCAGACAAATATCCAATCCCTGTCCTGAGTTCCAGTTAGTTAATAATAGCAAAAGAGTGGTTTTTTTTTTGTTGTGCTATTCTGTGGTCCCCAAAGCTGGGTTTGTATGCGGTGTACAATGCCCAATGAAACGCACACCAAGGCGGAGAGTTACAAAAGCTTTATTCTGCTCAGAAAAAGCACAAATTCAAGGATTCACAAATGCACAAAAAGCATTCACATTTCCCTTTTTATATTGCAAAAACCTGCACTCTCCAGAGGTTTACAACCACATATTTCTTTACATCCCAAAATTTGTCAGGACAACTGGGGATTATGTGAGTTAGATTTAAATTATCTGGAGATTCTCCAAGATCCATTTAGTTTTTTTTCAAAAGTTACCTTCGGAAAAAGAGGGCAGGAAACAACTAAAGATGTTGGGCTCACCTTTCTCATCACTGGGGTGCGGTGGAGGTGAAAGGAAAAAATAAAAAATAAAGGTGGAGAGTTCCACAGCCAGAAAAAGAATTATCCAATTATTGGCTTATGCCTGCTTGCACAAAAAGCGAGCATTTTTAAACATTCTTCTCATATCTTACAAGGGTTTTATGGAATTTTTTTTTAAAAAAAAAAAAACAAGCACAGATAGTCCTCAACTTACAACAGTTCATTTAGTGACCAAAATTACAGCCGCAGTGAAAAAAGTGACTTATGACCGTTTTTTCAACGTATCACCATTGCAGCATCCTCGTGGTCACGTGATCAAAATTCAGCCGCTTGGCAACTGACTCATGTTTATGACGGTTGCTGTGTCCAAGGGTCATGTGATCCCCACTTAACTGTGGCAAAAAGGTCATAAAATGTAACAAAACTCACTTATCAACTGTCTCACTTATCAACAGAAATGTTGGGCTCAATTATGGTCGTAAGTGGAGGACTAGCTGTAATGCAAAGGAAATATTTTTTGCAGGAAGAAGCTGAAATTGCATGGCTGTGCTCACAGATACAACTATTGTTGGCTATGTTCAGATAACGCATTTAACCTGTTTACACACTTCAGTCACGTTTCTTCCTTCCCACACCCAGCTAAATGGACTGGGTTTGTCCAGCCTGCTGCACTAAAAGGGAAAAAAATGAACCAAAAATTCATAAACAAATCACTAAAATTCATTGCATTCAACTGCTGTCAACCACCTGGTTTAGCAAGCCAAAATTATATCATACTTGGAGCCCTTTTTTACCTGGGTACTTTAAGAAATTGCAATCTCCGCTCAAACAGTTTATTGATGAGGTAGATATTTTCCTTCTCCATTTCATGGACAGCCTCTTCTAAACCGTTCACTTCTTTTCGATAAGCTTCAACCTGCCATAAAATAGGAAAGCTAATTCTGAGGTTCTAACAAGTTACACAGATACTTAACAAAGCCGTTCCCTCGTTTTTCCCTTCTCCAAAATGAGACGGTTCACACTGGGAATGTTTTGTTCCAAGGATGGAGTTGTTTGCTGAATGTAGAAAAAGCATGAAGAAACCAGGAAAAACAAGTGAAGATCACTGGAACTCTTGGCTGAATGCTCCGACACTATGTGGGAAGTCAGCCCCCCAGAGAAGGAAATATTAAAAGGGCAGGAAAATATATTTCCTCAAAGGATCTTGAAGAGGCAGAAAAGCATGCCCAGTTTTTCTTAATACCCCAGGTCTCCCTTCCCCAAGCAGAAACCAGCTCTGTAGAAATAAAGATGTAAATTCAGGAAGGTTGGAAGCCCCCAGCTAGAAACTTAGGAAGACAAAGACTCCTAAAATCTACATACCCCACCCAAACTCTAAGACAGGACATATAGGATTAATAAACAGATACCAAAGAGCACACTCAGACTCAGGTCAAAGTTCATGCCACAGGAACAACTCCACAAATTTAAGGCTCCAGGGGTATAAATACCCACTCCCTACATGTGCTCTCCCTCTCTTTTCTTCCAGAGCCATCTTTCTGTCTGGCTCTCCTCTTCAATAAACTGCAATCTTCTTTCTAAAGCAGTCACCATGTTGTTTATCCCTGACTTGGACTGAACCATGATGAAGACTTTTCTTTCAACTACTAAACAAGGTGAAAACAAGGACGTGGGATGTCTCCGTGAGTGTTTAATTTTAGAAATGTGGAAAGTATGGTCACATCCAAGGAATGAATATTTGTCAAAAGAAGCAAAAATAGCTGAGTATAATAGCAAACATCTGCTCACCTTGTTAAAGGCAAGTGAAAGTGAGATGCAGTGGGAATACTTACTTAAAAACTGTATAAGCAATACAGTTTTTGCCAGTACAGGTAATCCTCGACTTACAACAGTTCATTTAGTGACCATTCTAAGTTACAATGGCACTGAAAAAAGCAACTCATGACCGCTTTTCACACTTAAGACCGTTGCAGCATCCCCTGTCAACGCTGCTAACATCAGATGTTTTTGCTTTGACAATATATGAAGATGCAGCCAATTTCCCCTTAACTTGTGTGTTACCTTTAGAGTTAGAATTAGATGATACTGGGGGGGGGGAGGAAGAATGTGTATGGGAATTAGTTAGACATAACAACATCATGGTAGAGTGTGTTTCAAGGTTGTTTGAAATAAGAGATGATAAGAAATGGCGGGTTGGAAAACTGGTGGGAAGGTCTGCATTTCAAACTAATTGGAGAATGTATTTTATGACTGTTAATTAGAGGAGGGAATTGTGCTTTGATACTATGTGTTTAGGGGAGGAGAATTCAGGTTTCGGCTTTGACCATGTACGTGCCGATGCCATGCAACTTGAATAAAGATTCTTTAAGGTAAACAATGCCTCGAAGTTCTTTGAAGAGTTTCATCTGTCGGAACCATGACATCCCCATAGTGATGTGATTAAAATTCAGACACTTGGCAACTGACTCATATTTATCATGGTCGCAACGTCCCTTACCAGCAGAAATTTTGGGCTTAGTTGTGGTCGTAAGCTGAGGACTACCTGTTAACAATCTTCCTCTCTCAGCCCAAGCCATCTCACGAGCTTGTTGTGGGGGAAATAGGAAGCCTTAGGTGTGTAAGCTGCCTTGAACTGGCCAAAAATAAAGGCATACATGAATCAAATGCATACATACGTACGGATAAGGTCAAGGAGAATGAATGTTGAATGAAAACCTAAGTCTGTGATGGCGAACCTTTTAGAGACCGAGTGCCCAAAAACTGGCCCCACCCCCTGCCCCACCTCTGCTCCGCCCCCACCCCATTCCCCCACCCCGCCTGCCTGCAGGGCTACTCACCACCTCCAGGGCCCGCTGCAGATCGCCCAGACAGCCCAGCAGCACCATGGTGGCCACGCCCTCTGCCCGCACCCCGCAGCATCAACTGTGCGTGATGGGGCGTGAGGGCAGAGCCTTGTCTATGCTGCCTGGCTGCCATGTCCTTGGCTGCGCTGCTCTGTGTGGGCCATGCTCAGGGGCGACTCTCCTCGAGGGGGGCTGCTGGTGAGGAGGGGGTCATGGGGGGAGGCGAGGCTGGGCAATGGCACGTGTGCCCACAGAGAGGGCTCCGAGTGCCGTCTCTAGCACGCGTGCCATAGGTTCGTCACCACTGACCTAAGTGATTAACCAGCATGAAAGAAGGGAGTTGAAAGGGTTTTGATCTTAGGCAGGGAATAAGTGAGCTTCAAACACCAAAACAAATATATGAAAGAAGAGTGGATGAGCTGAAACCAAAGCGGAAGACCAAAAAAGTAGCAATCGGATGTTCTTGAGATCCTAAAAAAATTTTTTTAGTACAGATAGTCTTCAATTTACAACCACAACTGGGCCCAAACTTCCTGTTGCTAAGCAAGACAGTTGTTAAGTGAATTTTGCCCTTTCTTGCCACAGTTGTTAAGTGAATCACTATAGTGGTTAAGTTCATCACACAGTTGTTAGGTGAATCTGGCTTCCCCATTGACTTTGCTCATTGGATGATCACGATCACGTGACTCTGGGAAACGGCTAACCCTCATAAATGTGAGCCACTTGCCCAGTGTCCAGATTTTGATCACATGACCATAGGGACGCTGCAACGGTCGCAAGTGTGAAAAGTGGTCAGAACTCACTTTTTTCAGCGCCATTTTATCTCTGAGCAGTCAAGAAATGAATGGGTGTAAGCCAGGGTTTAGGCAACCTTGGCTCTTTTATGACTCGTGGACTTCAACTATGCTGGCTCAGGAATTCTGGGAGTTGAAGTCCACAAGTCATAAAAGAGCCAAGGTTACCTACCCCTGGTGTAAGCTGAGGACTACCCGTAGGGAGAAATCTAAAGAACAAAAAAGACACTGTATTGAGAGGCATATGGACATAGCAGAAGTCAGACTGGTTTTTAAGATCAAGTCAGATATCAGGAATTGCGTTGCAGTCAACTTGATTTTAGCTTGCTAATTTAGTTTTCTGTATCTTTGTCTGCCTCCTGCCTTAATTGATTTGGCTTCCTTCTTCTTCTGCACTCTGCATTAATACTGCTCCCCCCCCTCAATGGGAATGTATGTACAGTAAGTGGGTCTGCCAAAGACTCTTTAGCTGGAAATGCTGGGATCTTGGCCAGCCCTGTCATCAGGAGGAGGGATGTGGCTGCCTCAAGTGATGGATGCTGGAGAAAAGGGGAGGTTGTAGCCCTCCCTTCTCTGCTTTTTACTCTTAGGAGCCAAAACCACAGTACTGGTTATGTTTACATGTTGCTGGACTTAATATTCAGCAATCCAGATGCTGCTATTGGAAAGGTCCCTAGTAGACCCTTCAGGCAAGACCAGGATGTTTCAAAAGATAAAGACTCCCTTGGGTTAATTTCTTGGTAACTGCATGAACACATCCACCTTATTTTCTTGAAAGCCAAAAGCCCTGAGATTAGGGGACTGGAGGCTAAAAGATACAATGAACGGTTGCTAGAATTGGGTATGTCTAGTTTAATGAAGAGAAAGACGAGGGGGGACATGATAGCAGTCTTCCAGTATCTCAGGGGCTGCCCCAAAGAAGAGGGAGTCAAGCTATTTTCCAAGGCGCCTGAAGGCAGGACAAGAAGCAATGGATGGAAACTAATCAGAGAGAGAAGCAACCTAGAACTAAGGAGAAATTTCCTGACAGTGAGAACAATTAATCAGTGGAACAACCTGCCTCCAGAAGCTGTGAATGCTCCAACACTGGAAGTTTTTAAGAAGAGATTGGACTGAAATAGTATAGGGTTTCTTGCCTGAGCAGAGGGTTGGACTAGATGACCTCCCTTTCAATCTTTATTGATGTTGTTGTTGTTATCATCATCATCATCTCCTGGTGAATTTCCATGCACGTACAGGTAGTCCTCGACCTGTCCATGACCACAACTTTTCATTGCTAAGCAAGACGCCTATCAAGGGAGTTGTGCCCCATTTTACTGTCTTTTTTGCCACAGCTGTTAAGCAAATCACTGTAGTTGTTAAGCAAATCGTGCAGTTGTTAAGTCATCGAGCTTCCCCCATGGACTTTGTTTGTTGGAAATTGGCTAGGAAAGGCTGCAAATAGTGATCGCAGAATCCCGGGAGGGTGCAATTTTCATCAATACGGGATAGTTGTCAAATTCCCAAAGTCTGATCACCTGACCGTGGGGATGCTGCAACGGTCGTAAGAATGAAAATTGGTCATGCCACTTTTTTCAGTGCCGTTGTAACTTCGAATGGTCACTAAACAAGTGGTTGTAAATCGGGGAATAGCTGTACCAACAAATTCTTCTCCTGCTTCGATGGTTCTTCAAAACCAACCAGGACCATAAAATGCAGACCCAATTTCAAAGAACATTTTGAAGCACTGATGTTCAGGTAACAATAGCAATAGGACTTAGATTTGTATGCCCCTTCATAGTGATTTACAGCCTCTCTAAGCGGTTTACACAGTCAGCATATTGTCCCCAACAATCTGACTCCTCATTTTACCGACCTCGGAAGGATGGAAGGCTGAGTCAACCTTCAGTCAGTCAGGATCAAACTCCTGGCAGTCTGCAAAACTATATTATAACCACTGTGCCACCAGGGCTCTAAATATGTGGAAGTAATTTTCCCACTGTTCATTTCTACCTTTCAAAACTTAATCATCAAAACATAGGCCCTAATGCTCAGTTCATCCCGACAGAGAGCAAAATGGACATTGCCAACAAACTGAGATTGCTTCAGTATGGTTACAAGTGCACTGACATTTCTAAGCTGCCCTATCTATGTTTCCTGGTAAAATACATGGGAAAATCCAATTTAGGAAAATTCCACTTGGGGTTACGGTTAGGTCATCATTGACTCATAGAGCAAAATGGAGATTGCCAACAAACTCGGAGTGCTTGTGAATAGTTAGGAGGGCACTGACTTCTCTAGGCTGCCCTATCTATGATTCCGAGTAAAATACCTGGGAAAATCCCATTTAGGAAAATTCCACTTAGAGTTAGGGTTACATCACAATAAACTTGTAGAGCAAAATGGACATTGTCAACTAACTCGGAATGCTTGTGTATGGTTAGGAGGGCACTGCCCTTTCCAGCCTGACCTATATATGTTTCCTAGTAAAAAAAAATGGAAAAATCCCATTTAGGAAAATTCCACTTAGGGTTAGGGTTAGGTCACCGTGAACTCGTAGAGCAAAATGGACATCGCCAACAAACACAGAATGCT